AACATCCGCACACATCACAGTGAATACTTTCATTAACTGGATATTTACAACTGGGACGACCGAAAACATGATTATCGTTAACCATGTTATTAACACTTCCGTTTTCACTAGTACCGTATACTAACTGACGTATTCGGTCAGAATTTGAACACAAGGACTTGAGCTGTGACAACAAGAAGACCAACCTTAGGCCTCAAAAATGATCGAACTTCAAGAGCTGGCTCACGTGCCATGAGTCAAGGTTTTAAAGGAAGCCTCAGATATGAACTACACAAGGAAAGCGAAAAATGTCAAAAGTGTGAAAAAATTCACTTCATGCTTTCAAAGCCCGAGCGGACAACTCATGAACATTGCGGACAAGATGTTCTGGGGGCCACCTGGCAATTTCAAACAAATCTGTCACTTCTGGTTGCTGGGGTTGGAAAATGTGGATATTCAGCCCTCAGTGGTCATATTCGGCAAAATAATGCACTTCTGATATGAAGTGATATGAACATACATGAATTATACGGTTCTAGGATGATCAGTGGAGTACAATAAGTAAACAACTTGTTTATATAGTCCCTCATCATTATCCTTAGCAAAAAGTACAGACTGCTACAACGGAAGTATCAGGTTTAAGTTTTGTTTTTTTCTCTAGGTAATACTTGTAATGTCGGGATACAAACCTAACTTATTTGTTATTGCGAAGACAATGCTTCCACTCGTAGGGCTTCCAATTTTTCGCATAATTATCCCCGCCGGGATGTTCTGTTGTGTGAGCATGCAGCATTCATATACCCTAGGGACAATAGATGGGGATTAAGATTACCTGCGGTAAAGATACGTGTTATTTATGTAATAACATTCATACCTGTAAAAATGGTGTGTGCCTGTATATTCAGGAATAAACATTGTTGTTATTACAGGCATAATAATTTAGGCAGTGTGTTTCCATTCCAAATCCGTTTAGGGTCATGTGGGGATTTTTTAATCTGGAGATAACGCATTTCCAGAGTGGCGGAGAAGCTATTACGCAAGTAAAATATCACCTCACTTCAGTCCGTTTTGCTTAACGCAGAAACTTTAGCAGTGTAGTGAGGAAGTGCATGCAGACTTGTAGGGCAAAAGATAGAGATATGGAATTAAGGACGAGCTACAAACGTCATCGCATAAAACTTCCGGAACTTCTACTGTGCGCGTTCAACAAAAAAGGATTATTTTCAACCGGTATCTTTCTGTAGTCCCCTGTCGACTTGCTAACCGGCATTCGACGGTGGGAATTTCTTAACCGAGATTTATGAAGTGCTTCGAGCTCTAGCGTGGTAAGCCCCTTAGTAATCCAACCTGAGTTGGCTTATGGAAAGCGTTACTGAGGCTGATGAATATAAAATCAGTCGGCATTGTTGACAGAGGGTGCCACCTACTCCTCTCTTATAGTGTGATGGTTTACCAAGCGTAGGAGACCAGCCCAGGAGATTCTTGTTTGTGGTGCAGTCTCGTCCTTCTGAGACTTTTAAAACATCGACAGTTATGGACATCAGTAAAACCTACTAAATGTTGGCAGGGACCAGTTTCTGATCTCCCTTCTCGTAGGATCCTTTAGCCATCTAGGATGGTGTGTTGAAGGCGCGGAGATGCTGGATGGCATGATATCATCATTTCTACTATGAATGGCAAGAAATGTCCCATCACGAAGGATGAAGTAACATTAGGAGGACTGGAAGGGGAAAGAGAATAGGAGCAAGAGGAGAAGTGGGTTTTTCGAAAAGCAGTCTCAGAGATCCATCTGAAGAAGCATCCGCTACTTTGGTTTTCTTTTCCAGTAGTGGGAGAGACGAGGAAGCTGCGGCATAATCGCCACCTGAGTTGATTCTGAGTTACATCCATTATCTCAGGCCACCAAGTTGCTTGGTCCATACAGATAGTCGTGGAGCACCTGCGGATACTAACCTTCATCCTGTGGCGCCGCACCATACACTTAAAGTGTCCGCTTCCAACCATGAACAGAGTAAGCAGATGTCGGGCCTTGCATTTCACAATGACGCAACGAGCTATGTGGTCAGAAAATTTGTTCTGTCGACACCCCGCCATGCCAGAAAGGCCAGTTGGGCAGTGATAAGATAGAAGGCAGTTACCGCTGTGGCGCAAATTGTGACACTAAGATGACAGTTTGAAGGCGAAGTAGCTGGGTGGTGCGCGAAAAACAGTGAGGTGTTTCCCTTGAATGACCAGCAGTGATTCACTAATAACACCTTTCTTATGGGAAGCAGGAGCTCAAAATATAGTGGTATGCACTCGCGGCATCTGCAAGAAAAGTCCTATTCACTATCTCCACGTACGTTGGGGGAGATTTCCACAGAATTAAAGAGGTGAAAGCAAATGCCGGGAACATACCACAGGGTGAATGGTTGCCGTGGGTCGACATCTCAGTCGGAAGTGTAGAAGGCCTTTTCAGAATCGATGAAGTTGAGGTGAAGATCTGGTTGACTGCCATTCTACGCTCTGTTCCATGATGATACGTAGCGTAGCGTTTCAATTTGATCCACACATGACTTGTTCTTCCTGAAACCAGCCTGTTCCGATCGTAATTTTGAATCCAGCGCATCCTTTAGTCTCTCCAGGATGATGCGGCTTAACATTCTGCTTGTTAGAGGTGGACTGCAGTATGATTCCGCACCAGTTCTTGCTGACTAAGGTAACCCTTCTTTGGGAGTTTGACAAGGTAGCCCTTCTTCCAGTCGATCGTCGGGTACCTTTCCTTCCTTCCTTGCAGACCTTCTGCAATAGTGGCGTGGGCATGTCCGCTGTTGTCTCTGAGTCTGTTTTCAGTGCTTCTGGTGGAGTTCCATCTGGTCCTCCTGCTTTCCTGGATTTCAGCAACTTTATGGCATTGAGGACTTCACTTCTGCTTTTGTCGTGGGGCTTGTGTTCACTGGTATTTCTGTGGCTGGCTTTTGGTGGTATTTCTGGATGAGTTGCGGGTGGTGGTGGTGGTTGATTCAAGAGTTTTTTGAAGTGATCAGCCCATTGTTTCCATTGTTCCTCCTGTCTGGTAACCAAGTTTCCTTTGCTGTCTTTCACTGGCTTCATCTGCGTTGATCTCTTTCCAGGTGATAACCCGGTTGTTTGATATAATGTCAGATCTCTCCTACCTGCAGTCTGTTATGCTTCACTTGTCAGTGTGTCGTGGAAGTGACTTTTGTCTTTGCGCGCACTCTTCTTCACTTCTTTGACCAGTGTAGTGTTTTGTGCATTATGTTCAGTTCATCTTTTCACTGCTGATCCATGCACTACACTGCATTGATGCATCTTCTGCTTCGACATCTTCCTCTCCCTCCTCTATCGGCTTCCATATGTCCGTGGAGATCCATTCCTTGTCTTGTTTCCTCTTCCTTCCTAATACGGTTACAGAGGTTTCCTTCCATGTTTCTTTCAAAGGGTTCCAGTGTTCTTCCATGCCTGATCCTTCAGGGATGTTGCTCAGTGTCTCCCGTTTTATTCTGATGGCTGACGCGAAGATGTCGTTTGTTGTTTCGTCCTTTAGCTGAGTTTCTGTCCTGTGTGTTGAACTTGAACTGTGGTTTATCATCAGGTTCTTTGAAGACTTCCAACTTGATTTGGAAGGTGGACTCCTTGCACTAGATAGTGGTGTGAGTGGTGTGAACCTACATCTGCTCCCCTTCCTGATCTGATCTTGTGTCAAGTAGGCTGCATCTCCACTTTCTTCAGATTGAGATGAAGTCGATCGGATTTTTGGTGTTGTGTGTCCTGGTGTCTGGTGAAATTCATGTCGTTGCCTTTTGAATATCCTTGTGTTTGTACACACTGCCTCTCCTCCAATCACCAAATCGTTGAATGCTCAGAATTCTGCAAACAGTCCTTCATTCTCATTCATCACTTCACAAACGAGTGCTTCTTGACCCATGGTGAGTTCTCTTCCTGTGTTGTCTGCTCCCAATTCAGAATCTATGTGACCCATTAGAATTTTTATGTCTCCAACTGAAGTCTTGTCTGATAGCGATTGTAGTTGTCTGTAGAATTCCTCCTTCTCTTCATCTGCATTATTTGTGGGAGTGTAGCGTAGCGTTGTATGATTGTGACTTCCTTAACTTTTGATTTGAATCTTGCTGTCAGGATCGTGACCGTGGGAGAGATTGGTTCTTATTGTATGAGAGCCTTTGATGCTCTTGAGACATCATGATACCTGCTCAAAAACTCAGTGTGCTCATGGTTGTCGTCTGAGTGACAATATCGGAGTAGATTATTGACTGCAGTTGACAGTTTGGAGAGTCCACTTCCATTCTATCTGCAGATTCCTATCAGTTTTATTCCGTATCTCCCCATTTCTTTTGCGATCTGGGCAGCCTTGCCAACTAGCTCCAAACTTTCTGTGGACATTCCATGTCCCCATGCCTACTTTTGCTTTCATCGAGAAAAGTGCAGACACATCGGCCGATTGGCTTCCCGCAGTTAGCTTCACCAACCGGTGTCATTTTGTTTCCCCGTTTCCAGCGAATAATAAGTTTGTTTTTATTTTTTGTATTTTCTTTGTGCTTTGAAGTTTGTTTAGTGATTGGATTAGTTCTATGAGGTGGGGTTGCTAGCCCTATGACCAACGTTTCATCTTTATTCGGGCTTAGGACGAGCCAGTAACTAGTGAACTAGTTAACTAGGCGTGGTCTGAATAACTGGATAGTAATTTTTTTCTTTTCTTTCAAAAGGAAGTTAGATGCAGCTTTAGAACAATGAAGTACTGATGCGCTGTCCACAATAAGCTTTACGACATCAACTGATCACCTAGAGTAACACTATATACGGAGATGAGATTAATTACTAACCGTTTATCTAGTTCCTTTAAGGTTTTGCGGAACGAGGAAGACAAATCTGACCATTCTAAACCAGCGACGCATCACAGTAAAGCTGGAGTAGAACTCAGTGAACCATCGTTCACCAATTTTGCGAAACGAAGTTTGAAGTTTTAGACTTATTTCTCGTTTGTACGATATTGTTTTAAGTGAGGTTAAATCAAAGTCAACGTTACTGGAGTGCTCGTTCGTTGGTTTCTAATGAATGAGCATTACATTTTTCGACAGCGTGAAAGCCTAATAAGAGGAGTAAATAATTCTAGCGAAATGATAATTTTCTTAATGTTTTGTGGTTTCTTTTCTGAAGTGACACTTGATGTGTCAAGTACAGTTGTATTTTAAAGTCTTGGGTTCAGTATGCAACTAATGTTGTCTGGATTCAGCCCTGTGGTCAGAGTAGTCACTACGAAACGTTAGCTAACACAGGGTAATAATACATATGGCAATGTGAAAATGTGGTACAATGTTCTCGACAGCGCAAGGTTTTCAAATGCTGAGGGTTCCATTGAAACCTGAAGGTTCTGAGTTCGATCTCTGGCCGGATCATGGGTGCTTACTGTTGGGAGCCCCATGCTACGATGAAACAGTTGTCCAGAGCTCCCAAGCTGCTAACGGTCTCCCTCCCCCGTCCTCGTTTGACCACCCGCAGCCTTCCAGCTTTATTCCTGCTATCGCGCGTGGAGGTAGGCGTAGGTTATATATATATATATCAAAATGTCCGTGTGTCGATGTTAAGTCTATTCAGGAAATTTGGTGTCTCATTTGTCATGCTGAATTCATTATTTTCATATTCTTCTGTATCTTATCAAAATTCTCTACAACTGTGGACTGCTATCTTCTCCATTTCTTTGTCATCTATTTGCTTTCTCAAATGTAGTACTGATATGAGTTATGGCAACTCGGATTGTTATACAGTATTACCTGGTGCTATGTTGCTCTTGTCTCTGCTTATTCAGGGAGTTAGTAGTTGAAAGTCGCATCTGTTGCCTAATGCCCAGTATTCTGTTTTCCTACTGCTGCAGATCCTAAGTCCCATTCACTATGTAAGATGTCAACAAGTCAATTGGAATATGATCAACCGACTAGGTTTAGAAGCCAGTCTTCAGGTAAGCCTGAATTTTCATTTTATTATTTTAAGGGTCATCGTGGTTGTGTTAATTGTTTAGAATGGGATGAACGTGGCACGTATCTTGCCAGTGGCTCAGATGATCGCTGTTTACTTATCTGGGATCCGTTTGAACGCAAATCTTTATTGACAATGAATACTGGTCATGTAGCAAATATATTTTCCGTCAAATTCATGTCCAGTCTAAATGTAAGTAACATAGTTTGAGGAGATATTTTGATATCTTTTTCCAGGAGAATCTTGTTGTCACAGGTGCGGCTGATAGTAAAATACGTGTTCATGACATCAAGGCAGGACAGACTATGCATGTGTTTTCTTGCCATTCAAGTCGCGTAAAAAGATGGCAAATACTCCATCTGAACCGTTCTTATTTTGGTCAGCTTCAGAGGACGGCACTTGTAGGCAGTTTGATCTACGAGATCCTGATCAGGTATGTTGATCAATCAATCTTAAGGGTGACATTAAACAAGAAAGAGATTAAATATATATCTTTAAACTACAGTTGATTTCAAAATATATGCATTGTAATTGTCACTAATTTTGCCATCTGTTTGCAATTCTGATCGTCACAATTAAAAGCGTCATGCTTACCGCAAGGATATGAAAAAGTATTTTTCAAGTGGTAAAATTAGTTTACTCGATATATAAAACGCTATATATGATTTCTAGGCATTTTATTGACTAAAATAATTTCTATCGCTTGGTTCATTTGGAATTTATTTGTTTGGGTAGTCTTTATCATGAGTTGACATTGAATGTATAACTGCTTAAAATCAAGAAGTGGGGGGTAGCTCCTTCCAGCATCTTCGATCCTACCTTGTTAAAGTTAAAAGCTTTCCATTTGAGACGAAATTACCTTTGATTGCTCTAAAACTTTCATTTATTCTGTAGCTGATTGCAATTTCTGATGAGAATGCTTTTAAGGTGAAAAATTAGCCCATTCATTCAGTTACTTAAAGCGTGTATTGCGTCACTAGCTGTATTGACTTAAGTAGGTTTACGTTGAAAAAGGTTAAAAATGGCCAGAATAAGGCGTGGTATTAGTCTATGAAGTCTTTAATTGTTGATCTTAGCTGTTTAGGGATATCTGGATAATAACCCAAATCAATAACTGTAAAGTCTCGGTTTTGACTCAATCTATCTCAGCGGCACAGATGCATCCAAACATTGCCATTACTTTAATCGTCATATTGCATTTCGTTGTTTGCTTCACGCCCTCTTATATTCTTTGGCTTTCTAAAACTTTTATGTGCACTTTTTCCGTTTCTCTTTCTCTCATCATGCTGCGTGGCATCTTGATGTGCTGCTGTGAGTTGTGGTGACATGACCCGTTACACGATAATGACACCTCCATGTCAACACTGATTGATTACTGGCTACACTTCATAGCTTCGGACGAGAGTTGTTTAAAAGTGGAACAGAATGTTTCTACTGGACTGAGTAACAGTAACAATAATAACAACTTTATTTCAAACAACGAAGTAAGTAATGTAGCGTAATAAACTCAAAGCTTTTGCTTGGAAGCATCCCTCTATTTTGATCAGTCTCTTAAGTTCACCACTGCTCATTGTCATCGCACACTCGTCAGTCTGCATTAGAGTTACTTCTGCTTAAAGAAAGGTACTCACGCGTATCCACTGGTCCAGAAAAAGCTGCTGAGATCCACTGACACCTAATCTTTTTGAAGGGTCAGTTATTTTCTTAAACGTTTTTACAGGAGACTCGAGGTTGCATCAAGTTTCATCAGGACGAGTAAAGTTATTGTGTTCGAGTAGTTACCTGAACAGTCGCTGTTTGAAAATAGTTTAAGCATCCTCATCTTCGAGCGGAGTCCGAGACAGTCTGCCACTCGTAGGTTTCCTAAATAGATATAGCCATTCTCGAACGAGCAAGTGAATCCCACTCCAGAAGGAGCGTTAGTTTCTCACTCACTCCTTTCAGCGATAACTGATAGAAGCAAAGTCTAAATGTATCCATCTCTGAGTTGAGGTTGATAGACGCTAAGTCAGACAATGTCTGTCCTCCAATCTGAGTTTTGTGCTGGCCAGAAATTGATGGTTAACTGAGCACAGTTGTAATAGGCAATCGCCTTTATCACTCCATCATTTAGTTGAACGGCAAACAGGCCACTATCATTCTGAATCCATTCGAGCAGTATACTTTCTGCTTTGGGACAAAATCATGCCTACATCTGCAAGACTACGTAAATAGCCATCGAATTATCAAAAACTAGAAGAGAGAATTTTGTAGATTCATTGTGTTAGCCTCCTGAGGTTAAGTGAATAACTACACTTGGGTCCTGTACATGGGTTTCACAAACACACTGCCCATCTATGGCCTGATATGCCAAAGTTCTGGCTAGCGAAGCTTGTCGTCTATGACGGGGCGTGCGAATATTGGGAGTTCCATTATGTAGTTAAAAGTGCGGTTCCAGGATGCCAGGGATACTGTTCCATGAACTCAGATTGTTGTCAAGAGCTGCAAGGCTGGGAGAAATCAACGACGAAGTGGAAAGAAATTTTATAAGACGAAGATATTGAGGGTTGATGATTATCTGATGGAACTTGAATGCTGATCGAAATGTGTGTGTACATGTGTGGTGTAACGCATTAGAAATTTTAGTTCTCAAATGCAATTATTTTCTGATTAGGCTGATCCTTTTGCGACCATGCAATCCATTGGGATGATTACATCTAGAGTGTGGTAACATTTTGACCCGAGTTTTACGGTTAACTCTTTTTCACATGGAGATGATTACATTAAAAATGCATGCCACTGCCGTCTAGTAGCTTTTGTATTTAGTTAGGGTCGTATGACAAAAGCGATACTTCATTTGTATAATATGCAGTTTGGACATCATTATCTTTGTCATTTTTATCATAATATTTGTCTGCGCTACTACTACTACTACTACTAATACCAAGCCCGATGCATTTTTATTCAGGAATTACTGTTGATCTATGTGTAGAGTTTTGGCTCATCGGTTTAGGGAGTTGACTTTCGACCAGTGGGTTGCATACTCAAGCACCGTCCCATCTACCGGGGTGTGCACAGCCAAGTGGCGTCACTATCCCTCACACAATAGGTGTGGTTTATTTTCTACTGTACGAACGTCTATAAGGTTACTAAGTGAATTTCGACTTTTTTCTTGTAACTAAGTAATCTTCAATCGTGAATTCCCCATTGTAGTCATTTTTTATGTGTGTGTAAGATCCTTGTACAAGACTTGATTCCATAGGGTCTCCAACTATTACTACCTATCTTCTTAGGGACCTCAACCAGTCAGCTTACACCCCGCTACGTTGTTCCGATCAAAAGTCAGAGATTGCATGAACTGGTGACACTTCGTAGTTTGACCACCCGCAGCCTTCTTTCAGCCTAATCTTACTATCGCTAACATCTCACATCTAAGTGGGAGGTGGCTCAGCATGAGCGGTAAATATCCAAGCCATTTCAGTCTGCGCAGGTCCACAATTTCACCGAGTGACTTATCTCTCTAGCCTAGTAGTATATGATGAACTTCGTCATTGATCACAAAATGATTCTGTCACAAGCGAACAATGGTACGAAGGTGTCGGAAATGGAAAACGTTTTACGTCTTGTACCCCCTAACTTCAGAGGCCATGTCCATCTTCCGTAGAACAGAAAGTAGCTGACATCTACGTGATATGCACGTACTTTAATTATGTAGTTAGCTGTCTCACTGGCTCCGTATGTGGTGAAATTCAGCAAATGACTAACATGCTTCTGCTATCCAAGCTGAGATTTCGTCAGATACCAACCTATTCAAGCTTTGGCGATTCCTTAAGTATGTAAAGTGATCAACGTATGCCATCATTTCACTCCCTATTCTTAAACTAGAAGCATCATTTTGCATTTCATAGGTGTAAAACGCATTTCAAACAGGCTCAGATTTCCTCTCAAAGTGTTCTGAAGACGACATATTTTCAGCGTCTTCGCCTAACATGACCATGTCTGCGTACTCAAAGTCAACCAGGTTCCCTCTTGGAAGTAGATCAGTCCATGTAAATTCGGAGGTGCTTAATGTTGTTTTCATTAGTACATCTACGGCAAAGCAGACTAAAGATGACACCGGAATCTCTGGCAGATACCACTAGGTGTCGTCACCTTGGATAATGCCCCACCTTAACCCCCCAGTGCTTGTTTCAGTTCGAGTTGAGAGCTCCGATTAACACCAGAGACTTGCTCGTTGTTCCATTCACTGTCAGCCATTACCACAACACCTCACGGTCAACAGACTTTAATGTCACCTTCAGACGAAGAAGTGTGGCTTGGCAGGCAGTGGTAAGGATGTCTGTTTCGGCCTACCACCGTCCAGGTTTGAAACTCACCTGGTTTCCTCCAGCTTGTTCACCACCGGAAATTGGGTGTCAGATAGCTATCGACCCTAGAATCTTGGACATGGTATCAGTCAGATTGATTCCCCTATAGTTGTCACAGGAAGACTTCTTTCTTGGAGACTGATGGCACTACCTTTGCTTTTGATAGACTACCTAGTACTTCCGTCATTCTATCCAATAATTTTCTGCTAAAATTCTTAAAAGCCTCTGACAAACCGTCAGGTTCTGCTGGTTTGGGTGGTTTCAGGTTTGAAGAAACCTAAACTTCGAGGAGAGTTTTATCACCAACATCTACCATCCCTTGAAGTTGTGGCTAAATGTTGAGTGACGTGCGTGTCTGTAGGTTACATGAAGTGTTCATCAAAGTGTTTCGCCAAACGTTCTAGTCGTCTGTTCCTGTAGGTTATCAGAGATTCATTTTTTTTGACAGTCTCACTGACCATCATCTTCTTGTCATTTTCTTTAATAAGCCTAGATGAATGCCAAGTGTTAGCTAATGCCTATGCCTACCCCATCTTTCGATTTTGCCAGCTATCTGCTCGTGGCAATCGCGAAGACTTAGTCAGTATACGTTCAAGGTGCTTATGCTCCTCTCTGAGTTCACAGCCGGCTAGAATGAGTTTTCTCGACTAAGTCTTTTCAGACGAGACTACGGAAATGCACTGGTTTTTGGTAACTTTTGGATGCATGTTACTAACTTTTTTTAATCACTTTTTAGAGCAAATTAAATATTACCCCATGACTCTTTAGTCTGGAAGTTGGTGCCATCTTTGAGTATATCCCCAGCTATCCCTCTAAATTTACATTTGGCCTACTCGTTTTCAGTTCGAGGACACCGGTTTAACTGGTATTCGTTTCTGGCGCCCATTAAGGCGCAAACACATGTGTCTGGACTAATAAGTGGTCAAGTTTCAGTTTGGTCTTCCAAGAAGAGAGATAATCCTTCACTGATGCTCTTCAATAGCGGCTCATCATGATATTTTATCACGGAAGACAAGTAAGGTAATATCTCTCTTTCTGTTTGACGTTAGTGCTGGTCAGAAACAAGTGATTTCAGAACAGAATTGTCAGGGACAATCCCCACTGTTTGTTCGTCTGCATGAAAGCATTGTAGAAACCCACAATATTCGTTTCCGACTGGACCAGCCTCCTTAACTGGGTGTTGAAGTCACTCGTAAGTATGACTGTATTTTAACACTGCTCCATGTAACGAAATTGACGTTTGTTTTGTGACACTTATCCTTTGCATTATCCCAACTGCAGTCAGTTGGTGAATGAGTGATGATTACAAGTAATTACTAAGCAGTATCATCGTTGTTTCAGTTCTTAAAATATACGTTCTGTTGGACTACATACAGACAGCTATCGACTGGCATTCAGTCGAGCAGTTCACTTTTAGACTTAAGACTTACTGCTTTACCTACACTAACTAGTTCACGAGAACTAGCGACTGAATGGCCAGAGATGTACCAGCTGAATTTTGCAGATCGGTTACATTGACCAATTAAGGTCAGCTTAATGTTCGCACGGGCACTGCATACTTTTCTCAGAACTATATCATATATCCCTGGTATGAGATGTCAGAGTTTTGACTATCGGGACACGTGCGACTAGGCATAGAGTTCGGATTCTGAAAGCTCCACTGTGAAGTCTATGGTATAGTTTTCTGAGATCACGAATGGTGTCTTCATAACTTGGGTCGTTGCCACTGGTGGTGGGGTGGGAAGTTGAGGGAACTTTAAAGGATTCAGTGTTGCCAACCGAAAAAGGTTGTTATAGCAAGGGAACAAGAGAAGCTAAGTATGTTATGGCTAATTGGATTTCGTATACTGCTAAAGGCATGCAGTTGGTTGGTGCTCACTGACTACCCACTCCGTGCAAGTTGCTTTTGTTAGATACTCGAAGGAGGAAGTGGATAATTTTTGTCTGGTTGTAGAGCTCATTGAAAATCTGCTTAAAGCCTTTCATACATGGCTTTTCTAAGTGCATTGAACTGGGTTCTGATTGTGCTAACATTGGAAACGGAAAATCTGTTCAGATGTATCAGAGTACTTCAGAATGTATAAGAGTGACTGACGGTCTTTAGCTTTTTTCTTCCCATACAGAAAGCATCATCAGCATGGAATGTTGGTCATCCGTGCGAAACACCTTACCACTGTTTCTCTGTTGAGCCGGCAACATAACTTCATCCCATCACGCAGTCTATTAACGCAATAATGGTAATATCTTTTGTTTCCCATTAACAAACATACCATTCTAGTATTGTATGCCTTCAAGGTACAGTCATAGCTTATTAGGTCATTTGAATATGCAAGTCTGACAACCACGTTAAGGCAGCAACTATCAGTCAGGGATCTCTTACGTGAAGTGTGTCAGCTTGGGCGATTAGCTTCTCTTTCGTGTTGTAGGTTGTTGTGTTTGTCTTTCGATTTCAGACATTAGATGAAATAAAGTGGGTGAACTGTAACCGTTAAAGTTCCTTGTTTCTTTGGGTTTCTATCACATTTCTGTTACTGTAAAGGTACCTAATTTTCACGTTTGGTACCAGAATTCTGAAGGTAAGGAGAATGTACTCTGACGTAGTATGATCAAAACTGTGACAACTGAGGAGCACAGAACATTGTTTTGAAAAAAAAACTGATATCACTACTGGTTCCTTACAAATATAAATGATTTCCACTTAACAAAAAGTTATTCATTCGTCGGCTAGGTAGTTTGTTTTCCGTGAATTTTGTCGCACTGGGTAGATATCTTTGAGTAACTGAGCTATATTATTTAAGAAGCTTTGGATTGTAGGTGAACATGATGGATATGTACTTGAATGTGAGAGGAAATATTGTCTGATTTGTCTCAAACGACTAGTCTTCTGTTTTTTGTTGTTGAAAAAGTAGCGGAGTACCTGAAAGTCTATTAAGTCCTCAACTTCTCTGTATTGTTAAGTGTTGCGCTTTTTACACATAACATCGATTAACCTTGAAGTTATGGTGGTAAAGTAAACAACTGAAGGTTTTCCTTTGCTTTTCGAACCATTGGATTATTGATTTCTTTTGCGAATAATAGTGAAATTTATGTTTAAGCTTGATCGATAAACATAAATTAACTGTTGTAGTGCAACTATCACACAAGCAGACAGACAGAAAAAATCGAAGTACAACCTCACACATAGTTGCATCGCTTCAAGTTACTACACTTCATAATAGCATAAAAAGAACAGTTAGATAGGATGTGATATCAAAGTAGACAAAGTTGTAGAAGGGAATAAACAACTTAAAGACAACGGTTAGTACAAATATCCAAACTTTAGAAGTCGTCAAAGAGTAAATACATCTGCGCCATTGTAACCGATTCCCAGCCATTTCACTGAGTCCTCAGCCACTGATTCTTGCTTTGGGGACCACGACCGGCCAGGTTGTCTACATCTCCCCATACGACTCAGGTCGACAGTCAGGGACTTCATACCCTGATGCCATGTCATCATCTGGTCATCGTGAACCCTGTTTCAACGTAATCCAACTTCGCCTAGTATTGCACGCCGATGTAGGCGGTGGCTTGTCATACTGAGGACGGGTCAAAACCATCTCAATCGGTGAGAGATCACAACTTCATTGACTAACTTACGTGTCTTGCCTAGTACCCTCCACCTAACCTGAAGATTGTTCATATAGTGATCCCATCGTATGCGTGGAATGCTACGGAGACTCCTGTGATCAAAACCCTGTGACCGCTTCATGTCTTCTACTTCTAAAGGTCATGTCTTACAACTGTATAACAGTCCAGAACGAGCTGCAGTGTGTTCGTCGTTTGATAGGTAATTGGATATTTTTTTCAGTTGGGGCTAAAGGTGACGAATATTGGTAAATACCAAACTGACCATCTGGGATTTCGTCAGCAACCTGTCCTTTCGGTAAGTTTATATCTCATTTACCTAGTAATACACATAATCAAGTTCAGAATTACCAGATAGTCAGTTTTCTAAAGAAATATTAAGTTATCTATTTGTCTCTCATGATACTGAATTTGGCCAAAATACGAAATATTGTCAACCCATGAAGTCAACTAACAACTGGTGATCGAATCTATGTTGAGACATGTGTATCTCTTCGTCATGGTTTTTAGAATGCTGGACGTTGCGAATAGAAATTTTTCGCAGTGCATGAACTCGCTCAAGATTCTCTATTTCCCAACATATTTTGAATATCTTATTGCTCTATACTCTTTTAATTGGCTGATATCAACATGTGAAATATGTGCTGCGATGCTCAAATGAAGATATCACACTGGGGACATAAAATATCGGTTCAAGTTTGCTTTATGCTTTAAGGTTACCTATATTTACCGGTAAAAATGAGTTTTTGTAGCTCTCAGTTGTTTAGTCCTTTATAGTCACTAGGAGAGATGCATTCATTGCATTCGTCTCGTCTAAGCTGTGTTCATGTTTTTCGCTCCGGCTAAGGTAAAAGCAGACAATTTTTATTCATCCGATAGGTCTTAACACTTAAGAGTAGAACAATTATAATCAGTAACATCCTCATTCTCCCATAAATGGCAGTCAAATTTGCTTTGTCTTATTGTTTTTATGTATGTGACACCACTAAAATTCAATACACTTCCGAGTCACTTCTCACATAACAAGTGCGATCAATTATCAGAAACGTCTACTTTATGTGTATTCTTAAGATTTTTTGTTACACCCTTCCACAGTTCCTCGTTTATCAAGTTTTGAATGGTGTTTCTGAGATCTTTACAAGTCAAGACTGTATACATCTGAAATGATTGGTATTTTAGCTGTCCTCAAAAAGTATTATTATATTATTTAAATAACTAAGTTTGAGAGCTTTTAGGCTTTTCGAGTTCATACTGAAGAGCTGTCTCTTTACGCTCTGCAATTGTAATATTGATTCACCACTATCTAATTTTCATTGAAAGCTCACTTTTGAAAGATGAAACCTTGATGGGCACTGGTGATTTTAACTGTTGCAACAAACGCTGCATTTACGCACGTAATCGCTGATGCGTAGTGTGTGGGTTAAGATTCACTTTGGAATAAGAAAAAATTGAACGTTGGATGGATTCAAAGTGAAATTCTCTTATATTTTTTAACCTCATTATTGTGTCAACTGAGATCTTGGAGTGCAACTTTCAATTGGGTTTGAGGTTTACCTCATGCACCACTATTCGCGATACACTTTTGTAAATGAATGAGTCGTATGTGTTTGCACTTTTCTGCGTACACAGCAGCCCCAGCTGCATTCGTTCCAACTCTATGTTTACAGTTATATTAAGTGACCAACAAGATGATTAGACTTATTGTTTGTAAGGTGTCATCATCATTATCATCGAAATTCAACTTTCCTGCATTTTATTTTTGTCTTCTCCACTTTAAGGCTTGCACAAATAAACCGTGTAATGTTTAGTCAATTACGATTTCAAAATAATGACTTTGCTGAGGCTAAATGTCTTACAGTTAATCCGTTGAAACCGAGTTAATTGCTATTGGTGGAAATGAACCATTTGTACGGATGTTTGACCGACGTAAATTAACTCTTTCTACTTTGAATGGAACTTCATCACCAGAGAGACCGTAAGTGAAATTGTCAGTTATTCAAATTTATAACTAGTTAATGTTATTAACTATATGAAAGTTGACATTATTGTTGCCTCTTACTTCAAAAAGTGAAGTCAGAAGTGAATTTTTTTGTTTTGAATTTCCAACTTATCGAAAATACTCTACTATACACTTAGTAAACCTTTCACTACCATTTTACTGAATGGGCTAAGTAGTTACTACTTGACGAACCATTTGTATAAAAGGGAATCATTTGTATTTAGATACCACACCTGACTACCACTTGTGATTAATGTTACCAGTGGCGTAGGACTTTTCTTGCATTGAAATGTATAATCAAACTCCTTGGTTAAATCTGTAATAGTGTTCATAATTACATCACTGGTAACGTTTATCTTACCCTGCCACTATAAATGAACAATTGACCAACGCTTATTACATCTGGGTACAGAAAATAAACTGGACAGTAAGCTTCATAGATTTGTATGTACTGGTTTCATTCTTTCAAATGTCAACAAATGAAGGGACATTATTTATAAATCGTATATAAGACTGTTATTTTTGCTTTTAAAAAATACTTGTCAGATTAGTAGCGCAGTCATAAAAGATGATTAGACTGTCGGTTTATTATAGCCGAATATGGTGTTATATTGTTTTGCTAGATGGCCTCGGTTAGAGCTCATGACTGAAATTGTTCAGCAGCTTTACAGGGAATAGTTTTGTTTGATAAGCAAAGCGTATGATAAATTTATATAACTAATAATAATAATAATAATAATAATAATAATAATAATAATAATAATAATAGCTTACTTCAAACAAGACATGTGATACAGTATGTAATCCTCACCGTGTAATAGTTCAAGAAATTCATTCCCTGTACGTATTTTTAAGCGAAGTAATCATTACATTTGAATAATAATGTTAATAATAGCCGGAATAAATGGCACAATATGAAACAGACACCTGGTATTGCATTAGTGTCTGGTTTGGACTGGTGAATGAAAAGAATATCGAGCTTAATTTTGGGGGGTGGTAGTTTATTCAGCCAGAACCCAAATCCGCAGTTCGACAAAGTTATCCAAGAGATAGTAATGTAGTGTATTACTGTGCATTTATAAGCCCCTATCTTACTAGCGTATCGGTTATTCTTGTTGTTAACTTGAAGAACAACAGCTTCGAACCATTTTAAAAGTGTGCTAGGGTACTCACGCGTTTAAACGAAATATTTAAAAAAGATTTAAAAAAAATTGAAACGGAGGAATTTGATGAAAAATTTGGTGGAAATTTTCCGGCAGCCCAAGTAAGTTTAAGCGTGGAGCTTATTGTCTGGTGTGAACCGTCTTCTGGTTTTTTCCTTTGCACCTCCACGTAGCGAGAACTTGAATAGAAATTCGGAGTTTAGTGCTGAGCGTGAGTTGGTATGATCCGTGGTCTCAGTCCGCATATCGAGTGAGAAAGCGAAAAACAGCACCAAAGAGGTGGAGTTGGTTCTCCCAGAACTTGAAGAAACAGCAGTGAAGACCAGTGTATGTGTAGAAGCCACGGGGAATAAAGGGCTACGGAGTTTAATACTGTGCTTGTGGAATACCTTCGGAGCTTTATTTGGGGCATTTCTTACTCCCTAGCTTCAGCTGTACTACAGATATCTAGGGACAGTGACTTTGTTTTGCATCTGAGAACCAGTAAAAGCCTTGCTTTACACTTATAGGGTTGGGGCAAGAGAGGGGGTTAGATAATTGCCCTGATCTGAAAGGAGAGGATAAGGGGTATACAGTGGTATTTTAACGGGCCTATTTTGTGGTGGGAAGTTTATCATTGTCAGCATTTTAGTATTTTCATCATACCGGCATCATGGCTTAGTTGGAACCATGGGCTAACTTTTCGTGATTTTTAGCATATAAAAATGGCTACAGGGTATTCGGTGTCTTTCCTAAAGACTTGTTCACTACTAATGTAGGCCTAGTGGCCTCAGATAAGGGCGATTTCCATAGACTCTTGCTATCGGATCTGCCATCTCCTCAAGGTGGTGGGCTGTTTTTGGGTTTTGCAATGTCCCCCATCCTGTCTCTATTTAATATATCCCATCCGGTATCACCACCCCTTCCCCTTGAGTTTACATCTTTTTTGTTAACCATAATGGTACGGATGGCTTGGAGAAGGTTAGGGGTTGTTACACTGGTCACCAGGCATGCAGCGTCATTTGTGACGAGTCTCTGATGTGCTTTGTCATCGTACATCCCAAGATTTTGACCACTCAGGGCCGTCCCACGGATAAAGATTGTTTCCATAAGTCCCACCATCAAGTCCACTATTTCCTCCCCATGTTGTTAAGCTATTTTTTACGTCTAGAATTATCTTTCTGCTTGTCACCAATACTCTTGCGCCGTGCATCATCGCAAGATTTTTTCTTTCGGAGATACCTCTTTCCTGTTTGCTAAGGTCGCCCTGAAGAAAGCCTGTGATCGCTGCACGTTAGCTTCGGCGTTGCAGGGTGAAGGTGGATGGGTACTCGTTGGACGAGATATGCCCGTAGTGAAATCGCAGTGAGAAAAATATGCGCGCTGGTTGCAGTAGGTAATATCTGTTCGTATGTGGTGAGGAGTGAAAGATTTATTTTTCGTGGCCCAGAATGAAAGGGGTGCCAAACCGAGAGATCAGTTGGGTTATGAAGAAACGGGGGTCGCATCAATAGTTTTGTTCCGTACTGGATACAGACTCACGTACAGATAAATAGAAGGATACACACTCTATCGCACTAATGGAGGTCATAGGAATGATAGTGGCCGTCTCATAAGCATATGTAACCAAATTGTAGCGAACAGGGCTGAAGAAAACGCATTAACTTAAGTGCCTAACTCACTGCAGATCACCTTAAATGGTGACAAATGCAAAATGCTCATAAGTTGCATCTATCGGGCACCATACTCAACAGTGGAAGCGGGCGGACTTCTGGCTAAATCATTTTTGCATGCCTCCCCATATCGCGTGAATTTTAAATTGATTTCTGGTCACCAGAATCTTCCTGAAGTTGACTAGATAGCTGTTTACGGCACGCGGAGTTTCAAGATACTTGCTGTGATAGATATTTATGGCTGAAAGCAATATGTCCACGCACCTACTCGTGGTGATAACGCGTTGCACCCGGAATTTTGACATCACATTACCCTAGTAACTACTCATGTCAGTGGTGAATTTTCCAATAGTGTTCGCAGAATGGCATTCTGCTGTCTACCCATTTCGGCGCTCAGTACGTGTAGCAAGCAAGCCTTACGGATTACTGAATATTGGGGCTGCAAAGATAAGGACTTGAAACTGCTCACAGGGCGTCTTAGGTTCTTCCCTCAGGACGACTATTTTACTGCAGACTCACTGAAAACCACGATATCCCATTTTCAGAGGAATGTTATATTGTGTCTGGGTATCGCTTATTCTTTAGAAACAGTGAAACTAAACGGTCGCTCAGAAAACATTCTACCCGTATATCTCAAAGGGCTCGGACGGCTGTGGAACCTATACCACTCCAGCAAGGGTTTCTTCTTTCTGCAGGTAACCGATGATACCCTGAAATCAGTCAAAATCCTACGTGAACAAAAAGCCCGAAATGAGGAGTTAGAAGCCATTAGAACTAGCTTCAATGTATACGAGCTAACATTACTCCTAAAGAAGCGCCTTTGAACAACAAGAGACATATGTAATACCTGCCTTATAAGGAGACAGTCTACAACAACACAAGCGTGATTTGTGAACCAGTGCGTGACTGGTTTGAAAGGTTGGTTGTGAAACACAGACTCACATCAGTAGCATACCACTGTCCAGTGGCCATCTTGCGATTGTGGAATAGACTGGCAAAGACATATCTGAAGCCATTAAGAGCCTAAGACCCACAAAAGGAGCATTGATAGACGTCCCCGATTCAATAGCCCTATTGAACAGTAAACAGGACATTCCCTTGATTTTGCTCAAGTTGTTCAGTCTTTCGATGGAGACTGTAACGTATCTGACTGAATGGAAAACTATCTTTGTAATTCCGCACTACAAACCTGGAGACAAGGCTAGGGTCAGCGACAACAGACTCATCAGCATAACCCCGGTCCCACCGTGACTTGTGAAAAAAGTCGTAAGGGGCAGCATGTCTGCATACTAACCCGCAGATTTTATCAAAAAGTCTCGGCACGCCTTTCTGAAAAATAGATCATGCATTGTGTCATTTCGATTTCTTCAGCCTCATTATCAGTGGCCGTGAGGCATGTAAAATAATTTTTGTTCAGTACTCAGATATATCAAAGGCATTTTACATGGATCCTCGTAATGTACCATTCGAAAAGTTAAACACTGCATCAGCAACCCTCTGCTGAGCTGTCTAAAATCACTTCCAATTGATCGCAACCAATTAACAAAAAATAGCTCAGTTCTATTTACTCCAGGATACATCACTGGCAGAGTTGAGTAAGGTAGCCTTCTCAGGTCTCTTTTGTCTATTATTTACGCTTACAGGGCTTCCAATTGCTTCGCCACAAGTGAAGCCGCTCTTTGTCCCAACGACCAAAAAGTCGTTTACTCCTGTTATAGCCACGAGTTAAGTGACACCGACTGCTAGTCCACATAAGCTAAAATATCTCTCCTTGGCTTGCTGTTACCCTTCAGCAGTTCGACATCGACGAATGAAGATGAAATTGCATTGGTAACAGTAACCTTGACCTGGTATTTGGAGTATCTGGACAACAGTTACCAAACGTTAGTCCTGTCTCAGATCTTGGGCTTACATGTTCCAGTGACTTAAACCTCCCTGAATATGAGGCGCATAGCAAAACTAAGTCACGCAGACTCCTAAAAAGTATTATTCCTAAATTTCATGGTACTTAATCGAGGGTTCTACCCCACAAAGTATGCATCCGTCCAATTCCAGAATACTGCTAATTTGCTGTAAGTGGCTTTCAAATAGACGAAAAACTGACCATCGAAGGGGTACAACACCACTCTACACTAAGAACGCAGGGCGCTGACCGCAGCCTTGACATCTACAGATGTAACAGCTAGGAACACAACCTCACTGGAAGAGGCTACTCGGAATTACATATTGCATTTTGGTGCAAACTACTTTGCGAGCAAGTGCGCTAGTGCGGCCTGGAAATTGTAATAGTTGTTACGTGCATCCACAATATACGTAATCACAAACTTCTACCTAAAATAAGTGTTGTAGGACCAACCTGCAGGTAATATCTTCCCCACTAAGTTCGCTCGCGTCTTAAATAGACCCCCTGAGGAAATGTGTGCTGTAAGTTTGTCACCTGTTCTTCGCCCCGCACTTTATAAGCTCTTAACGGATGATGAGTCAATCACTCGCTTAGTCACGTTCTATATGTTCTGTTGTAATGAAGGCACACTAGGACCTCTAAACGTGTAAATCGAGGCTATCACCAAACTGGAATACTTTCCACCCGACGGGTTCAGACATTTTCAAACAGGGTGTTGCTGTTTCACCACCTTAGATTGTGTAGTCGGTAGAGAACATATTGAAAAAGTGCAAATCCACTTGATGTAGAGTCAGTTTTCCCAGTACATCTACGAGTGAATACTGCTGGTTCTCTTCTTTTTTTCTACTTTTTTCAGCGTAAGCATCAAGCGAAAGTCTTGAGCATAATTTTGACATAAAAGATCAACTTGCTGAGCATATTACTTCGCATAAGACATCGAAAACCATTGAAGGAAT